TTGTTATAATGACTTGTTACTGTTGCCACGTATTTGCTGATTAATTTTCGATGAAACAGTTGCCAAAGGTCAACGCGGTTAAAAAAATACCAGCATAAGAATTGGCCAGTTATGGTCCGAATTATTTCTCAGCTTCCTGACCTTAATTAGGCATATTTATCCCTGCTGTACTCTTCAGGCAGGAAATTATTATTTGATACACTTTGGGTCGATAAATTCTGAACACACAGCAGCTTAGTTCCTATACTCTTGCTAGAGAGAAAAAATGCTGATAACTAAAGTTTGCGCATTTCAATTAAGTTTGGCAATGTAAAGTTTCATATTTTTACACGTAGTATTCCTGAACTTGTTCATTGTTCAAATGGTCCACACTTTTTTACAAGTAAAAGCTGATCCAATCACTGTAAAAAAAAGTAACATTACACGATTTTTTTCCTCATAAAATTACAGGTTTACGCAATACATGCGACTCTACGACGTTCTAGATGTACATGTAAACAAACACAACATGCTAGTAAAAAACGATGTTGCACAATTGTCTATAATGCATATTATAGACAAAGCGGTAAATTCATTCATTTCAAATTTTGGCCGTAATGATTCAAATCAATGCTATAAAAACGGGTTTTTAACGGATATTAATGCCTCATTGCTTCAGTCTGTAAAAATGTTTTGATTTCATTTATCATTCTATTATTTTATAGATGGGGAAATGCAACGGGTACCTTTTTTTTCTATTCCATTTTACTTGTTTTACTTTATTTCGTAACTTTTTATTTCACTTCGTTATTCCTAAACCTTTTTTTTAATTATAGTTCGTCTTCTGGTTTTGTTCACGGCCAGGGTGACTACTACAGGTTGGCAATTTCTGCACCCTTTGCATTTGCTCCAAGCATTTGACATGCAGTGCACGGTGAAATGGCTTCTTGATTCACATACCGATGTATATGCAGTATCTTTCGTTAACCAGTAAAATCTTATTTAATAAATTGCATGTATTCCCCTGGTAAACCAAGGCCCTGTCAATAACAGCATACTAAGAAACACAGTTAAGTTACATATATAATTGCATAGCATATCAGGATCCATGCACAGCAAATAACAAAATTATCAAACCTCTAAACCATTCACCATGTTCACTTCTTTCAAAGGGGGAATTTTTAATACAGGCAGACATGTACGTGTAAATGGACATGATCAAGCAGAGTGTTAATCAAATTAACATTCTGGATTTGCGGGATTTGATTAAATTTTCTCTGCACAGCACACAGAAAACTGAATTATATTAAGACCTCAGACCTGGTTGATGAAACAGCGTATGTACCTTTGCCTCGTGGAAATTTTGGTTAGCCGAGCTTCAAGTTTGTTTAAATTTCTTGTTTTCCTTTACTCGGGGTCCCACTGGGCAGTGATGCATTGGTCAGTTGCCATTGCGTCTCATACTGTCAAATTGAAATTAAGATATGTACAAGCCTCTATCCATATTTATCATATCCAGTGGGACACTATCAGAGTATACGTAAGGTGTTATCAAATATACCGAAATAATCAGAATGTGCCTTTTCCTTGTGTCTTGCGTTGTCAAAAACGTGTTTCACATACAAAGGTCTCATTGGTTTCCCCTACAAAGAGAAACCATAAACCTGTTAGGCCTAAAGAAACCAGCAACAGGTACCGAAATGCTGTGCACATTTCCAATGTTCATTATATTTCGTCAGCACAAGTGTTCTGAGCCACACTCCAGACCAGGGTTGAAATTTTTACCGGTAAAGTTACATGCCTATAGTCAATTACATGTATTTCGCAGCAAATGCTTCTTGGACCTAAAATCCATCTACTTTGTCGGAAGCTGCATGGCAGGGAAAAATACCTGCAGTCCTCCCTGGGGTTGAAAATTTTCGGAAAGGAATAGGATCTGTACTTGTCAAGCTTGACACTACTGTCGCCAAACCTAAAGCAAGTACAGATCCTATAGGTAGACCCTACATCAAATAACATTTGCAAAGAAACAAGACTCATCTCAGTCAATGGGGACTGCAGAGTTACAAGATGTCTTCATTTTAAACCGGTTTCGATACGAAATACTTTTATTGTCCATTGTCCATGGCATTTCCCCGCTCTTTTTATCATTCAGCAAAACAACTCTGGAATGTTGAACAGTCTTATTTTTCCGGAAGAAGATGCAAAAATCTGAAAGAAAACAACTGATGGTGAATCATATTTTGCAGTGTTTCCCGAGAGGAAATTTTATTCTGGAAAAGAAGACAGTACATTGCTTTGTGACAAAGTTTAATAGGTTCTGCAGAGCTGTCATTGTGTGTTTTTCCCCCAAATTTCCTGAAGATGTAGGACAAAGTAAGTTCTCAAGCTAAAGTCGAACAGCTCTCCAGTACCAAGTTCAGTACCAGATTTTGAACTGGTAGGTTGGAAATAGTTTAACAAGAATGAATAGTTTTACAAGAATAATGTACATTTGATGGTAAATACAACCAGAAAGATTACAAAATAAATTTAAGATTTTAAACCTTCCTGTTTAAAATTAAGTACTTTTGTCATAAAGCTTAATTTTCAAAAGCAGTTATGGTTCATCAATTTTATTTATTCATTTCAATTATTTTGTAATTAACCTTTTCTTATTCACCTTCAAATTTCCATGTTCTCCAGCTTTGTTCTATCCTAACAAGTTCAGTGTCTGGCACTGACCTTGAAAAATACTAAACTACTACACTAGTCTTTTAGTATATCTTGAAAATTCAAACTGTTTTCTTTGAAAAACAGTAATGTATGTTAAACCAATTTTTCTGAAGAAATCCAGAAAAATTATACACAGTTCTGTATTTGATATTAACAGTTTTGAAATTTCCCACAGATGGAAAGGAACACAGGTTTCTATCAGTAAGTTGAAGTAAATACGTAACTTGAAGTCAGAATTCCTTCTGAAAGCAGGAAAAATTACGCTAGAGGTTTTGATTTTGGAGAAAACCTTCAAACTTATCAGTTTGTCGTCTTCCCGGTGCAAATCCATCTTTGAAATAGCAGTTTCTCGTACGTTTCATTATTTCTTGCAGGACATTTCAAAATCTTGCCATTAAACAGTGTTAAGCTTGTTCAGTCTTTTTTTTTAAAGCTGAGCATTTTTTTTCTGAAGATGTGTGACAGGTTGTCAAGATTTCAATAAAAAAAGGCGCGACACCTGATTACTGAGGTTTTCTGTGTGAATTGATGTCAGTGGGTTGTTTTGTTTTCCGTTTTGAATATAGCTTTATTTGACTTCCTGATACAAGGACAGCATTATTGAAGGAATCTCATAGGAAGTTTCTATAAAATTACTGGAGTGGGTCTCAAAATTTTAAATGATAGCGTGCGGGGGGTGGGGCTGGTTTAAACTACGCCCACTGCCCAAGATACATGACCATCGCAGGTACGTTAGTTCGCGGTAAATTGCCGTTATTTTTTCTTTTGATTTTACGTGTTGAGTCATCCTGAAAGACTCTTCCACAAAAGTTTGAAACCTGAAAAGTCTGAATTTAACACACCTAGTGTATTTTGTGTCTTGACTCCTTACTTTCCATCGTCTGATCGTATTAAGAATTGAAGCTAACACATACAGCCTCAGTTTCAAACGCGGAAATGCGCAGATCGACGCTAAAAACGTCGTATTGGGATCCCACTATACAGCTTCACATCTTGCGTAAATGCTTCTGTACCGTGAACTCTGTCGGCAGTATCAGCACTGCCCATGACACATACTAAGGAAAATATCAGGTTCATATCATTGATTGTCTTGCTGTACCTGAGCATGAAGAAAGAAAAATGAACATGGCATCCCTTGGGATAGAGGTTACATGTAGGCCTACAATCACAACCTATCACTGAAACGGGGAAATTAATAAAACAAAGCCATAATCATGCCCTTGCAGATACAGATTACATGTTTGTTTCATCTCCCCCCCCCCACTTTTCACGTTTCCATCCCCCAATTTCCAGCACAAATTAACGTCACTTCTTAGACCTACTTAACCTGTGTTACCTACAAAGAGGAAAAAGCAAAAAATATGCCACTGTTTCACTGCATTTTGGGGCTAGACTAATTTGCCATAAATATAAACCCGGAGGAATTCCTCTAGAATTCAGTACACTACATGCTAATAGAGGGATCCCAATAGGACGCTTTTAGCGTCAATCTGCGCACTTCCGCGATTGAAAACGAGGCTGTATGTGTCAGCTTCAATTCTTAATACGATCAAACGATTGAAAGTAAGGAGTCAAGACTCAAAATACATAAAGGGGGTATGTTAAATTCAGACTTTTCAAGCTGTACATTTTTGTGGAAGAGTCTTTCAGGATGACTCGACACGTGAAATCAAAAGAAAAAACAATGGCAATTTACCCCAAACTAACGTACCTGCGATGGCCGTGTATCTTATGCAGTGGGCGTGGTTTAAACTGAAGTGGTGTCACACTTACGAACCGGATACTGCATACACAGTACATATGTACTGTGTCGACTCCGCAGGCGAGCGCAACGAAGTTCAACACGGAGAGCCTCGGTTTCGATGCGGATATGCACAGACAGCGCTAATGTGAAATCCATCTATAAAAGCCCACTGGAGTTCTTTCTTATTTTCCCACACACCGGGGATACTCTTGCATGCACTTTCCTATGGGAAAATGGTGTTACTGCATAAAAAACTACGTTGAGTTTGTACTGTACATGTAGCTCTATTGTGTTACTACCAGTCTTGAAATTAGACTAGTCTGCACGCTTCACGGAAGCTTCCCCCGTTCAAATACAGGCCTTTATATCTTTCTTTGAAAATTCAAAAACGATCCTCCGGATCTCAGAACGACCATCCTAGCCTTTAATCATCTCGAGTCTCCCCTGTAAACAAAAATGCCATTCGTCTTGCGAATTCTGAAGACTTGGCTGGGATTGATAACCAGTCTAACGGTTTACGAAGACCAGGTTAAGCACCCGCTGTACTACACGTCGAATGGGTGCACAACCTATGCGTAAAATCAGTTGCGTACGTACATGTACATGTACAGTGTATGTTTGTGCAGTGTTGAGTCCGATTGACGGCGTCACATACATATGTACATGTACAACCATGGACGAGGGCTGGGAGCCTCCATTTTTCGCCACATCAACATGGATATTAATTATAACAGCCTGTGCTCTTCTACTCATGTAAGCTCATTATTTTCAAGTCACTTCAAAGCACAGTGTTTATACATAATGTAGCACAACTAGGCAGCAAACGTGCTGGGCGCGATCGCCCAATCGCTGTTCCCGATTGGTCCAGAATTCGGACTGCATGAAATCTCCAACTTGACTTCCCTTTTCGGGAATCGTTCACAACCGTGAATTAAAAATAAAAAGCGTTTGGCTGGAATTATCGCCAAATCATGCACTAAGACTGACCGATGGCGCATCAGACCGATCGCTCCTATGCAACTTAAGATACATGTACCTTACATAGGCACGAAGCTTTCCGTTCAGTTCACTTTATTTTCCACATAATATTACTCTAGTTTCACGAAGTATTTATATGTGGATGGGGGCCCCAAGAAGCAATGCTTGTCGAGTGGGGTCCCCAGTTAAGAATAAACAGTCAGCTTTACAGTCACTTCGCCCCATTTCCACGTCGTTTTCTAGAGCCTATCCTTGAGGAAGAAAGAATTGCCCTTATACATGACGTCGTACGGAGGGGATCTATTATTGTGGACTGCATTCAGCCGTTCTGGTACAGTGTGTGAGCGCCCAACTATTCGGCTACGAGAATCCGAGCTGCGTACACGCCCATGAAACACGTTACTGTTTCATTTTTCATAAAATTTACGTCTCAACAAGAGTTTGCCGCGTTTAATTCCATAAAAAAGCTGCAAACAAATAAAAGGCTTCTGAGAGTGATCCGCGATAACTGTTCTTCCCATTTACAGCATACTTGAGCCGGCTAATGCTGATCGAGGTTGTTCATGTAAAAATTAGCATTAAATTAAATTCATCTTTACGAGCCCAAAATGTGAAGCTGAACAAAAAATTGAGCTTTTCCCGGGGGTTCCAATAGGGGTTACCGGTCAGTCCTAAACCTCCCATGGACTGAAGCACTCATCCGTCAACAAACGGAACTTGTTTTTAGATATTGCCAGGCAGGTGCAGGTACCAGGTACGTGTGTATATAGCCTTTATGATAGTAGGCGTGCAAAAGTCAGCTTCACTGGAAATCGCGCGCACGTAGTGCGAGTACGCAGCTCATCAGGTTCACTTAGAACTCGAGAACGGAGGAATTACATGTAGGCCTACGTCCACAACCGTGACAAATGTGATTTAATGTAGTCTTTGAGCGTATTTTCCTCGATTTTGCAGTCCAGGGACTTGAATTCCTTAACCCCCTGGCCGGATAGTTAAGAACATAAACAATACGTACACGTAAAATTGGTTTCTTTACGAGGTAAAATCAAGAACAACTTAGTATAAACTTTTGGGTAATATTTCAGAACCTTGACGTCAGTCGCAATGCAATGAAGACTGCCATCCAAACTTCACTAGATCGTCATCAACAAACTAATGATATTGCTGATGTAAATACATGCATGTACGTACATGTTTACTAACGTGGCCAAGGTGTCACGGACCTATGCCCCCCTTTTTTTATTTTTCTTTTCTAGTGCCTCACTGGAACGAAATTTTGCCTAAATTTTCACTAATCGCAGTGAGTGAAATTTCATCAAGCACTCAGTATTCCTGTTCATTAAATCATGACTTGACGTACCGGCTAGAACGTTCATGGAAATCTAAAGTTCTAACTTAATTTTCCAAGTTTTTCCAGTTATAAAAATGAAGCCTTTGATGCGCCCCCATACAAAACAAATGTCTTACAAATATCTTAGGAATTTGAGTGGAGGTAAATTGCTAGATTAGATCAACTGTGAAGAAGTGCTGAAATGTAAAATGCTAGGCTAGGCTATGCCTGAGGAAAGTGGATCGCCTTGACACCATGTGTAGCACGAACGGCCTTTGTGCGTTGCCAAGAAATGAAAAGGC